AGTTTAAGATGAAGATATACGGTATAGCTGATACTTTGAGCCATAAAATGCAATATTGGTTTTTGTTAATATTATATTCTGAAACTCTGACAGCAAAAATAAAATTTAAACTTATCTGAACTTTGTTGAGTTTGTTCTACTTATGTAACAGATGTTCGTTGTAATACAAGAATGAAAATCCGCATTCGTCAGTTATTTATTTATACAATTTCAATCGCGACGTAGTCAACACATATATCATTACCAAAGTTTTTTTTATTAAATTTCAGTTGAAATTCAACCAATGATTTCAATATCTGAATGAGATTCATAGAAACAATATTGAAAATAGGATAATGGCTTCAGTTAAATTGAATTCACATAAGGCCAAAATCAAAGATATCATATGAATAAACCGGCTGCTCACCACTGACATATTGTAATGAAACAATTCTATGTGACCCCTAGTAATATTTGCCTTTCCAATCTAACACAGTCTACTTCACAGTACCAAAAATACAAAATATAGAAAAGAATTTTATTGCCGACCAACGCTTGTACTGCTACTCGATATATAGAAAACATTCACTCGATACCGGAGTAAAGTTGTTCTTGTTCCATGCTCCCTTACTGCGCTTGAGTTGGAGCAATACATGGTGAGCAGTATTGAAAGAATCACAACACTTTCGTTGAACGACGAACCGTCCCAAAATTTTTATAATATTTTGAAGATTTTTCTAATACCTTAGAGAATTATTGTCTTAAAACTTCAACATGTTTGTTCCAGTAAATTGGTTAGTTGACAGCTCTTCTGTAGGGATTAGTGTTCCGGATATTATAATTGACGTTTACTTGATCGCAAAACCTTGAAAGCATGACAGCGATTTATATTGCAGAACTTATTCGGCCATGTCTACCTAGTATATTTTAGATATAGCCTTCAAATATATTTTCAAATGGTCGCCAGTTTTACCGTTTCATTTTCTGTGTTCTCCCAAGTTTGGTGATCACGATTTGCTTTGCTTAACGCTTTCTCTGCCAAGCCATATTTGACATTTTTCCGAAGTTTGAGAGTCATGCTTTCAAACGGGTATATTTTCAAAACCGTTTCAGCCACAAAAAGAAACTACATATGAAATTTGTTAAGTTTCTTCAGAGCTATCTAATGATCGGATTATTTGTTTTCTATAAGGCACTATTAAAAAGATAAATGAAAAAATATAATTAATAATGTGTTCAAATATAAAGCGATTAATAGTGCCGTTTTTCGAAGAAAACAATAAATAAGTTATGACAGTTGGGTAACCAAGATATTTAACTTTTCATAAACAAAAATCGCATGATGTTTTCATTTGAATTTTTCGAACACATATCGGTAAAGTAAGCAAATTTTGCCTTTTTTTGCCTGTGTTACCGTCGAACGACGCTCTGACGCACCTATATACGTCATGATGATGATCATACGTTGTTTCGTAACTACAACGTGTCGCCGTGCGTGTCGTCGATATCGCGGCCGCCAGTTGTGCGTCGCGGTTAACGTCATTGGATGTGACGCCAGGACAGGACTTATCATAGAAAGGATATGCCCTGTTCGTTCAAAAACATGACGAAAAGCCAACTTAAAAAGAGCGATGATGCCGTCTTCCTGCGATGGAACCAAATTTTGTCCTGTACTTGGCATGGTACGTAGATAGTGGCCATGTTATCCACCATTCACACAATCGCCTACGTTACAAAAGAAGTTCGTTCAAAAGCTGTACGAAACGATACTAGAAGCGTGAAAAGTCGATCGCATAAAATGAAACCTTACTTGTTCCCTCACAGAGGAATATCGGTATTTCCGAATCTTCGATGCCTTGATAAACATTTTCATGGTAAATGCACATATTCTGTATAGTGGAGTCCGGAAAGATGGAAAATTTTTGAAAGATTTTATCCCCGATATATGCCTTGACTTGTTGAAACCTCGCTCAGAAATAGGTTTGCCAAACTCATGCCAACTGCTAGTAAACGCACCAAAGGAACCACTGGCCAACTCTACGAAAAAATATCATGATTGCGTGCAATGTTCGGATCGAGAATCCTGACAAACAAGAACCAAATATTTTGGCAGGAGTTGTGGTTTTGCCCTCTGTCCCGCACCATGTGCAGAGTTATATCACATGTTCCTCATCATTGTCTACTGTTTCTTCACCTCAATTTCCTGTTTATTTACTTTTTTGTGACCTTGACGAATGCGTAATTTACGCAATTTAATCGTATGAAACCATGAAGATACCAATGACATACAAAGATGGCAAACTCAATTGGCTATAACTCAGCGACAAATAAAGATGTAATAGTTATTTTAAAATCGATGGAAAGATATTCGAACAGTGCACAAATTTTCTAGTGAGTACTTTACTCTATCTTGCATACCGTAGGATATAATCGCACAAGGACCAGGCATAGCCAATATCGAGTTTTTTGTAAAATTCTTCGGCCCAATTTGCTCATTTTCACAAAATTTTCAAACCGCAATTATGTATTTTTATTTGTCAGTTAGCAAGGCAATTAATTGCAGTTTCTGTCCATAGGAATATTGTTAAAATTGATCCATCGTCGATCGATCAACCATCGATCCACCATCCAACATCGAGATATTGTGCAAGAAAGGGAGTCAGCTGCTTATGCCACTTTAGTGGCCCGTGGCAGCGAAAGCGTTGTGTGTGTCTGTGTAACGGTAAACTCATTCGAGTTATGATGAAAAAAGCACAGTTACTAATTTATCGATACGGGCAGCCGTAGCAGCGAATGACTGAGATATCGATAAAAGATTTATTATTTTCGTGAATGTGTTGAATTAAAATCGTTATACGTGGTTGAATTTTTATTTCGAATGTGTATAAAAACCATTACCAAGAGAGTGTTATTTAAAACTACTTCACAATTTTAACATAATTCGCGTTTAACCATGATAGTAAACTTTTTTGCGGCTGATGATTTAGTGTTTTAACAATCATACCACCTCACCTCCCGACAAAATTTTCCTTTTTAATACATTCAGATGGAGCAATAGCTTTTTCGTTTGACCAACAGGGCTATTGTATTTTCTTCTTTTACAATTTTAGTCAAATTCTGTTGATTGCAAATGACTGATATGATAACCATAAAATTTTACGATTTCACAATACGCTCTCAGTATTGAACAAATTTTAAAGCAATATGAGATACCACACATAATCGCTTTGACATCCCAGGGTTTATTAGGCAATTTGTCCGATGGTAGAAATGACCACGAATGGTCAGGATCTACAAAATTCTACATAAAATACTAGACATTGCGACTCCCTTGATTCACCCCGCTCTTCTGCAACTGTTTACAACGTGCTAGATTGAGGTTCGAATAGACATCGATTACAAACGATAGAATATATCTAAATCGGTATTCTACATCTACATACTTGTACAACTCTTTTCTGCTAACGTAATTAACTGACATAGTGAAACATCCCCAACTGATGGGAGAAAAATGATATAAATTTGAATGTTTTCAATGTCTATACGCAATTGCAGTACCTTTTGTTATTTATGCGTGCTTGACTTTCAATATGTTTCGCAATTAGTCTTAATCTTTTTTCTAAGAATGATGGAATCTCACTCGGTTTATAATAATGCCAGGTTGTTTATTTGGTCATTTGACATCGAAGAACCGGCGCTCCAGAAATATGTGTACCAATATGGAGGTAACTAATTTTTTTGGCCTATGTTACATCAAGTTGTGTAAAGGGACTGATTAATGTGGGCTGAAGGTATATTCACTTGGCTAACACAGACAGTCCCCGAACTCGTAACTAAAATAAAGAAAATAGGAATAAAATTATGGCCTAACCCTGACTTGGTACACACACTACGGAAGTACCGAATAACTTACTAACGGGGTGTTTTAGATATGAAATTAGTAACTACAAAAACAGCGCAATAACTATAAAGATATCTGACAAACCTCTGTATTACTCACTTTCTAAAGTCTTTTTTTTATCTCACTCTTTTGCCTATCCTAGTTTTGCAAAAGGGCCTCATTCTTTTTCTATCTTCTTTAAACGATGATTGAATTAGGAAAAAAATGAGCTATTTTTGCATGTATAGCATCCGATACGTGACATATTATTTCAACGGGCAAACTTGTAATAACAAGACTGAAATTTGGAACCATGAATGTATTTCAACTGTTTTGCAATGGACTAATTTACATCAAATTCATATTTTACTGCATTACGTAATCGATTGTGTGTTGAAAAGGCACATTTATATGTCCACCAAAATTTGTATAAAATAATATCGTTTCAATATTTTATGGTTTAAATTTGTTTTCCTAAATTTTGTTGCAACAAATAAATGACTGTAATATTTAACATTAAATGACCGCTGTTCTGTATATGTTCAAAAAGCGAGAGTATACAGATATAAACAAAAAATATAAAACTGCATGGAACTATGACGCTATCGTTACGGAAAACACGATTTTATAATACTTTCCTGGTCAATCTCAGTTACTTCAATCCAAAACAGATATCATTAGTTAATATAGTCAACAAAATAACTGTCCCGCAACAAGTACATTTATTTGCCCAGGGCTGGGCTTTCGAATCGAATCGAATAGTAAATTATTCGAATCGGTTCAGCGCAAAATTTCGAATCGCCGCCATCTTTTTTTTTTCCGCCAATTGAATCGTCGAGGTATTTTTTTTATTGAAGCCATATTTTTGCAACGCAATCCAGACATATGACTCTTGATACATATGAGTAACGTGTTTCTTATTGTGTGTGAACGCTTAGCAATCTGCCTGAGTGATGTATCCTATGTTTTCAGTAATTCATATGTTGACAGGACCAATTACAATAAAAAAGTCGCATACAAATATATACCTCCCAACTATTCGAGATTCGATTCGGAAAAAATATTCGATTCGATTCTGAAATGATCAGGTGTTCGAAAATGCCCAGCCCTACATTTGCCATAATTCAATAAAAATAATTAGTCAAGCATTGAAAATGATTTTCATCTGGAAGTCGAAATGTATGAATGTTGTTAGTGAGCAAAAGTGAAACTATTTTATGATATATACGCCCCTATGCGATCACGTTGGGGTCGTCATCGTTGCCGTCATTTGCACTACTGTCGTCGTCGCCTCCTGCACCGCTGTCACTCCCCATGCCATCACCACTTCCCATGTAATCTCCACTACCCATTCCACTCCCCATGCCACTACCCGAACTATCGTCGTCGCATCCAGATCTATAAATAATTTATACTATGAGTAAACATATAAAATAGTAATTTATAAACAGCATTTACAGTAGAAGTAACATAAAAATGCGTTCATGTAGTAAGCAAGGTATATTCAGAAGAAGAATATTAATATTACAGAAATATTAGGGTCAAAAAGTAGCTATTAACATATCAGTGGTTGAATGTCTAGAATTTAGTTCTGAGTAAAAGCGTAAAACACCTCGTTCAAAACATTTTGATAAGCATTTGCCTGCGAGACCATTGTAAGGCATGCTCATCCAATAGTATATGATGCTCAGCTTTCAGAAAAATCACGAGATGCCATTGAAATGCAAAAGTTACCAAGACCATCAAGAATTGTGATGAAACATTATGCTACAATAAATACCGCTTAAAAAATCACTACCGTATTTTACGGATCCTGAGACGAACCATATTATAAGGCGCACTGTCAATGGATGACTTCGTTTGCGTTTCTCCCTCTACATAAGTCAAATTTGACTATAAGACACAATGGTTCCTAAAAATAACACCCGTATTGGTTTTGAGTGTAGGCAATAAAGCATGAAGCACAACCTGATTCGTGCATGAGGCACACCGGCTTATAATGCACACGATCGATTTTTGAGGGAAAATGAGGATTTGAAGTGCGCTTCATGGACCGTAAAATACGATATATATATACTCAGTTTGTCCGTTTAATGATACTTTTTATGTCTATCTGCAATGCTGACACAAAAATCAGGATATGTATAAAACTAGAGACTGGACTAGAATTTGGTTTCAGTATGATTACTTACTGTCGTGGTACACAACTGCGGTATTTTTCCATTGCATGTCTGTAAACTGCTCTTTCCATGCCGTAAAACTTCTGGATCATACTTGCATCTGAATGGAAATTGCATAAAAGTTATACAATAAATATCGTAACGCTTCTAACAAATTCAAGTGAAAGCAATTCCTACTCGCCTCAAAATGACAGTATTGAGAACAAAACCATAAATTAATGAAAAAGCGTACGGGCAGTGTACTCTGGACAACCGTTACTCCGCTGTGTGTCCACCCAGTGATTTTTAAAGCTGTCTTGATATCGATAAAAACAAATGAAAAATGTCTATATCGCCAACACGCAACACCCACTTGAAATTGCGGCTATACCTTACAACTGCTATTGGCATTTTACGCATCGCTAGATCAAGCTATTATTTTACACCGCAGTCAGACCGCAAGCATTTTGAAATAAAGACGAGTCGTGCAGCTTCGTACCTCTAAGCATCACGAAATGTTTTGTCTTTGACCAACAGCCCAGAACTGATTCAAAAGAGCGGCCTAATATAGGGTGTACACACTTGTCACGAAATAGTCAACACCCCTTCATTATTTACAGCAGCCTCGCCTTCCTTCAAAATGGTTTTAGAATCACATGATTGCATTCAAGATGTTTTGTAAATTATTATGTTATTTCCCTTCAAACTACGGTCACGACTTCAATATACTTGTATAAAAACATATGTAAAATATACTTGCATTTGCTCCGATATGTAAGTAATAAAAGCTTAACCAAAATTTCGAAATTTTTGAATTTAGGAATAATTTAGGTTATTCCTATTGAAAAAATTTGAAATTTTGAGCCTTCAGACGAACGCATCTAAACGTACTATATCTTAACTGGTTATAACACAATATAGAAAACAATGACCTCTATATTTACGTCTTTACATATGATAAGCATGGATTTGTTGTGATTTATGTAATGTTCCACATGAATTGTCCCAAATTTAGAATGTAATCGATATTTCATATTCGAAAATATATTCTCAGAATGTATTTGGAATAATAAAATATTTGCCATCCCCGGTTGTGTTATATATCAGTAGAGTAACGTTTGTCGGATTTTAATGCTTACCCTATTGTTGTTTCACTTTCGAAACACTTTTTTGACATTGAAATTGCTTTTACATGGAACTAAGAAACATGGAGAGAGACTTACGTTTGAATTTTCCTCCTTCGCACACGCAGATATGGCATTGAAAGGCGTCATACTGACAGGTCTGCGTCCCACACGCACAATCAAACATATCCATATCCGGGCATCCCACGTACATCCCGCTGCCGGTGTAGTCACTAGATTTATAAATTATAAATTAAAAGTTAAGTATAAGTTAATTTTAAGATTATTTTTATGGGCACAAGGACCATACTTGAAGGTCTATTGAAATTAAATACGTATATGCAGAGCATGAATACTAACGAAAATAAACATTATTTACTTTATTTTTATGCTTAGAAGCTCGAATTGTAATCCTATAAAAGATTTATAATCATTGATAATAAAAGATAATAACAATAGAAAACAGCCGTGTCTTACGATTTCCCCTACAGCAATGCACATATTAGAAAGCAACAATTTACAAATAAATTCACAAAATATATTCCGTACCATTTTGTATCGTATTCAGTCAACCATTTTTTCAATTCGCATCTCCATTCCACGAGATCACATACCCATGATGCCATCATATCGTTCGAACTCATTGCCCATTGCGTCGCGTTTGGTCTTGGCAACATTGCTGTGCCTGGATAATTTGGACAATATAAAACTTTCAAATTTTATCAAACACAACATATCGCCCGTTGTTTGCTATATATAACCGAAATTAGTAGTACAATTAACGCGTCAGAAATTTCCAGCCTTGTTCAAATCTGATTACCTTACAAAAAATTAAACTATTTTTGAGTGTGGGTGCGTGAGGTTATTAGACTGATATAATTTGACTCCGGGATGTTTGTACTCACTGTTTATGTAAAAATGAAATTGATCGAGCTGAAAATTATTTAAAATTGTAACCCCAAATTTCCATAAACATGCAATAAAATTTATCAGCAAATGCTAAGCCAAATCAATTTTCTGCCAGTTTGTGTCGTAGCGATCACAAAACTGAATTAATACAGTGACTGGATGTTATTTATGTCTGTCTGTAAAGCTACTACATGTTTTAATAAGTAATTCGGATTTGCAATTCTGGTACACTAGTTGGCCAAAATGGTTGTATCAACAGAAAATCTGTCTGGTATCGCCGCAAAGTTTAAAATTTAGCAAATTGTTGGATAAAGCAGTACGCACGCGGGCATTTTTATTGCTAACTATTGATATGGTCAGTATTAAGAGATAACGGCTATTTGACCCGACAACAACATGGTCTAAACACCAATTTAGAAAACATTACCAAACGACGTTTTTTGCCCATCCCATTATAATGCATCAAATCTGATGACATGAACAGAAACATTGCATATACAAAACAAAAATTGAAAGATCTGGGAATAAAATTAATTAAATTTATACAAATTATCTTATCAAAACCATCGATTTATAAAATATATAGAATATTCAAAAAAGTAAATTCCTTAATTTTAGAATTATCATAATTGTAGTATATATATATATATAATGAATATTTTTATATGGAAATGAAAATGTAAAAGGGATTTCTACATTTTATTCTTTGTTATAAAAATATTCGTATATTGAAGATAGTTGTTGGAAATATTTATTAAGTACTAAACTAATAGATAGAACACGAATTAAAGAACACTTACATCCATCATTTGGTGGGTAATAATCCTGAGCCAATCCTCCGGCAATAAAGAGAACAGTAACCAAATAGTAAATCTCCATTGTTTGTTTAATGACCAATTCCAAAGATTAAGACCTTTTTAGTTTAGATAAATCTAAAAAGTTATTTTTACATTTATTGCATGTAATTTAGCACACATTTTAAAGAATGCGAACCGTTATATTCGTTGTAACCATTGTGTTCACAATAAGATGAATTGTCAAGTTGTATTTGGACTATTCTTGGGATAGGCTTGATAAGATGCTAAAAACAGACAATTTTTAAAAGTACTTTTTATTTCATTCTGTATTTTATACATACTCCGTCTGTTAAAAACTAAGCCATGCTATTTAATAAATATTATTTAAAATATGCCTACAGAAGCCCGCTTTCTCGCAATTCTATAGATATGGAATTCACGTAAATAGCATAGGTATTACGTAAAAAGGTATTTCACTGCCGTTTTCTTTGCGATGTATAAACTAAATGAACTAGTTTCGGCGCTCGAATAAATCTTCATTTATATCGGTTTGTTTTTGGCAACATTCCTAACTGACACATTTCACGTATTTCGTTCTCATTAGATCTTCTATCATTCCACGCGATCGGGCAGAAGAACTTCTACCACACAGTTAACAAAACTAAAATGAAATATGGGGGGTTTCTGGATGAATCGAAATTAGAGAGGATTTCGCAACCAAATTTACTTCATTTCTGCTTGGGAAATGAAGCGTATAAAGCTGAACAGTCGTTAAATGTTTCAAAACACGTTCATTAGAACGTCACGAGGTTTTTGTTTTTAGAGGAAATAAAAGACGAAAACGTTTTAAATTACAGGATGGGCCGTACCACGAAAATAGCTCATCGTCATGACGCAAACCAGTGCTGCGTTACGAACGTAGTTTGCTTATAATTTTAAAGATTCTATATCTTGAAGTGATTTATTGGAGTTGGTTAGAATGATACGTCACTGCGCGACGTTCCCAGCATAATACTCTCATCAAGCAAAAAACTTTCAGACGTTTTAAATTTTCGAATCTCTGGTTAGCTTGTTTATCTTTAAAATTCAATTGTAAAAAACAGTTAAAGAAATATTTTTTGTTTAAAACAAGATTTACATTATATATCTCGAAACAAAACCTTGAGAAAATTTATGAAGTTATGAGGTCATTGCATTTTCCATAATATCTTTACAATAACAATTTTTTTTCCGCTCGATGCCAATATACAAACCCGCTATGAGATAATGATGATGGTGCAATAAGCCTCAATTTGAGATGTCAACGAAGTCTGTCGTATTGTTTGTATTCAGTTAAAATTATTTCGAAAAACATTTTTTATGTATAAAATATATGATGTCAACAAATTACGGCCTAAAGTAAAATACTTCATAAAAATGGCGGGTAACATAAGTTGGTTTGTCATCACAAAAAAACAAGTGTATGGAAAAGTGATACACAACAAATAAATTTACTAATTATGTTAATTGTGTGACCGGGGCACTGAATACCAGTAGTACCAGCGACAGTAAACATATTTGAGATTATTACGCAGATTAACTAAAAATATGCAACTATCTCAAGTTAATAAGGTAGCATTTTCAATAATTTGATTAAATTGAAAAGTTGATTACATTCTTAGGTCAAGCTAAAAAATAGAATTGATTAAAATATTAAGATCTTACTAAGATATATTCATTTAAAAATAACATTAAATACATACGCTAAAATACGGTATTGTAATGTTACTGTAGCTTCCATTCTAACTCGCAGATACAACACCGCGTATATGTAGAAAAAGGAATGTTATAAAAATGTTTCGAACAAAAACGATAGCTTGACCTTTGTGAATGAAAACGTTTTATGCTGAAATATATGACAAATAGAGTATGAGTAATCCAAATAAAAATTCTGCCCCCTAACACTAATTTATTTTCATGTATTTTCATACATTAATTTGAAATAAATATAGAGAAAATAATGCCCTAGATCTTTAAAAAAATTCCTTTCTTAGTCTAGATATTCCCTAACTATGCGCCAGTTAGATGATTTCGAAAACTTTCAAATTTTCAATTTGCATTATTTCTTTCGTATTCGCTTTTCACTTTTAGAAACGCTTACGACGCAACATTCATCTAGCCAGTTATTGATTATATTTCATTTATTCTCATGCATTCTTTTCACTTTTTCAGTTCTAACTTGAGACTCCCAGAGCGTAATCTCTCAATCGTACGCGCCCAGCGAAAGTTCGGAAATTACTGATTTCGTCATATTCAATCCCTCGTCTATTTGAGTCACTGGTTGGCACAAAAAGGCGATTAAAAAAACTTCCTATTTATTACGTCCGGGCGAATATCTAAACCAAATCCCTATTAGCATTGTTAGCAAATCAATGTTTTTTTAACATATTAGTTTTACTAAACTCACATGTTATGACAATCATTGTTGAGAATATTTAAAGCCTCTTTGAAATATGACGCGGCGTTAACGGCAGATTGCTGATGGTCATTCAGGTCTTTGTAAGAATCTCACTGAACAAACATAGCATTTCATTCTTAATAAATTAAATCAACGTTGATAGAGATGATAAAAAAGCATGGCTGCTATGAGCAACTCTTTACTATTGATATATATACCTCATTCATATCACATATAACAATTATTTCAACGCATTGATTATCCATTTATTTTGGTGATATATTATTAAGATAAATATCATCTGGAATAGACGGAAATTCTTCTACACAATCATATGAAAATCGTATTTCTGGGATTTCCAAGTATTATTTTCTGCGAGCAGATTGTTTTTTCAGGTTGTCAAGTTTTTGTTTTAATTGAAACAAAGTCTGCATATACGTCATGGGTTTCTAAGACTTTTCTTCGAAACTCAATTTCGTTTATTGAAATGTTATCTATGTAATAATTTTATTAAAATGAAAAAGAGGACAAACACAATAAGTAAAAAGTTTGTATAAATGACAACACCGCATGAATTTGAAAACATGGAAAATGGAGTTCCAAAAAAAGCCGCAAGAAACTAATAATGCCGCCTTATCATATCCGATACAATTTCATCCTCGGCTCTGAAAATATTTTTAATATGGTCTGAATCGAACTTACTTCGCTACTTAAGGGTACTTGTAACAGTTTACAAATCTAATCAGGGATATATATAATAAGTGCATTCATTCTTAAATTACAGGTATAATTATAGACAGTACCCCTGTATGCGTTCCTACATTGCTAGAATACAACATTGGGAGTACCCTTATACCTGGACACTGTGTATAGATATTCGTTTTCCAGGATTATAATCGGGATGGTTTCTATAAACACGCTGTAGCGCCAAACATCCAGTTCGCGAGGTGCCCTGCATTTGGCTATTCCCGGATGAGGCACAAAATTTTGCAGTACACTGTGAACCATTACATATCAGGTAAGTGTGTCGCGCCGTACGACTTGATTACATTCTTTTCTGAATTCGGATGCAAAAAAGCGCTATTCGATTGGTTTAGTTGTTTCAGCATTTGGCCTAATTCAAATCTTCAAATAATTGTTTTCAATCGTTGCTTCCGACGGTTTCTTCTTTGTATTTTCGAGCCATTGTTTCTTTGTGTTTAGTTCAACGTTCCGCCTTATATGCCGTTACAAACATGCGGGTTTTATAAAAAAAAACAGTTATTATAATTGTGTTCCTTTATGTCTCTATGGCTTTTATTTGCAGTTGAAAGGCACTGTCATTTTTTGATATCAATATTTTAAAAAAAATTCAACACTATACGTAAACAATACCTTATTGGAGCAAGACGTAAAGGAATAAGTATAAATTAAATGATTTTCACTTATCAAAATTTTTGAGGATATCTAATACGTGTTCCATCCTTATATATAAATATGTGAAGAATGATGAAGAATTTACTTTTATCTTCAGACTTAGAAACTAAATTCTGATCTGTATTCTAAGACAGTGATCCCAACCTTTCCATCGGAAAGTACTTCAAAGTGAGAAAGCTGCGCTTGTTTGCCATCATCGATTTTTTTAAATCACGCCGGCGCTTCACAGCAAAACAAATACCACCAAGTTTTTAAGTTGGGTTACTTCCTATGTATATAATTACTAATAAGCAACACTCCAATACCAAATATAAAATACATAAAAAAAACAAACGACCCGAGAGGATTTCCAGCTGACTCAGCTTTGGATCGCAACCAATACGTTAGAAAACACTATTCTAGACAAAACACAGAATAACTTCAATTCGACATCATGAAATCTATCATAATATGCCTTCATTTTTTCTAATAACAATTTATCAGTGATTTCAGAAATAAACAGAGAAAACTAGTTTCGGCGCTCTAGAAGTGGAGGTAATTAATTTTGTTCGCCTACTTCACATCAAGTTGTGTAAAGGGACTGAAACCTATGGGCAGGGGTATATTCACTTGGCTAACGCAGACAATCCCCGAACTCGTAATAGAACTAAAATAAGGAAAACCGAAATAAAATTATGGCCTGACCCTAACCTGATAAGCACAGTTCGGGAGTACCCTATTTACTATACTGCACCTTCATTCCATTACGATCTCATAGTTATTTTAAAACCTTTTACGAGATTACTTTTACGTAGGTAGATAAGTCCCCTTCACGCTCCACCAGATTATTGTTTAACGTAAAGGAAATTAAGGTTTCTTGTCTCTTTCATTTTCTCATTTTTTTCATCTGTTTATTTCGACTTAACCTCACTCAAAAATGTAGGCTAGTACTTGTTATTGCAAGACTGTTAGCTAATACAGCCCATTCATGGTTCTTATAAGAACGTATACGATCACTTCACAATTGAATGAGAAAAGCTTCCCCTTTTTTTGAAGCTCTTGTCACGCAAAGGTCAGTAACGGAGGTATATAAAAACTTTAAAAATATGAACAAAAAATGGAATTATGATGATGATCTCTCATTTAAGCAGTAGAGCCCTCTCACAAGTTCTCAGTGATGAGGGTCAATTGTTCAAACGCTCGGACAATGCGGTCAATTACTTATAAGTGAGGGTTGGTAATGTTCTAAATATTGTTCATGAATAAAATATTAATTCTTCATATAAACCTAAGTAAATACGTGACGAAATTACATCAAATATCCAAA